CCAGTGAATAAGTTGAGCAGATTTACGAGCAATCTCAGTCATGAACACTAAAATGCTTTGAAAAGGGTACTTAAGTACTTAAGGTATACCCTTGAATACGAGTTAAAATACTCGAGATATCTAACCGTACTTGAAGGATACTGTTATGCAAGCTGGATATCAGATTCGAGAGATTCTCGCTCCACTAGCGGATATGTTTTCTGTATTGGAAGAGGTGCAGTTTCCTGGAAATCCACAAAACAAACGTGTATAGCTCGGTCAACGATGGAATCAGAGTTCATCGCTTTAGATAAAGCTGGTGAAGAAGCCGAGAGGCTTAGAATTTTTTTATCTGATATTCCATGTTTGGATAAGACTTTGCCGCCTGTGATGATTCACTGTGATAGCCAAGCTGCTATAGGTAGGGCGCAAAGCAACTTGTATAACGATAAGTCTAGACATATTCGTCGTAGACATAATACCGTACGCCAATTGATCACAAATGGTGTTATTTCCATTGACTATGTGAAGGTAAGGAAAATTTGGCTGATCCATTGACGAAAAGATTGAATAGAGACCAATTGGTGGTTTTGCTAGAGGGAATGGGCTTAAAAATCCACAATATAAAGAATGATCATAGTGGTAAGCATACCATGCTGAGTGGAGATCCTACGAACTTGGTTCAAAGGGAAAACTAAGCTATGAAAATTTAGTTGAGCACTTGGAACATATGAATGTCCAAAGCTATTCCCTAGAGCACTCCAAGTGCAAGATGACCTGTTGATTGTGGTGAGGTTAAGTCATGTGGACTTTTAATGAATTCCTAACCTTGTAAAGGTGGAGTAAGACAGGATACTCTTGATAGGGATGTCACATATATAGATGTGAAGTGTGGGCGGCTTCAAATGTAAACACTTATGAATCCATTGTGTTGTCCATGGCGAAAACGGACACAACGTTAGAACCGAATGGAGTTAAGACTCTATTGTGTGAATATCATTGTCTTGGTGTACACTATGGATGAATAGTTCAAGGCATTATGTCCACTAGGCCGCCAGTGCATCCGATGATGTTTACTAAGAAATGTTCAAAGCCAAAAGCTACCTTTTCTGATGCAATAGAATTTTGTGAGGATTGAGCACAATAGTATATTATATTTAAATTACACTCATGTGTGGGATTGTTAATTATTGAGTGTAAATTAATTATAGCCTAATAATGGAGATTGGAGCTGGCAAGATTCTCAATCAATTTGGCTAATATACAATTGTATTGGGAGATGTAATGATGTGAATGACATCACTAATAATGGAGATTGGAGCTGGCAAGATTCTCAATCAATTTGGCTTATATACAGCACATTCGCGTGAGGTTCATTTGGCCAGGTTTATGCGATATAACTTCCCTATAAATAGGCTTCAGTTTGAAGAAGGAAAATGGACCAAAAATTCAAAGAACAAGAGAGGAAAGAAAGAGAAAGAAAAATGAAAGAAAAAAATAGATTTATGTCCAAATATCGGATATAAAAAAATCAAAAGAAAAGAAACAAGTAATATTTTTATTTGTTTTAAGATATTCCTTTTAATTCTAAGTGTTCAATTCTCGATTCCGATCCCTTTCGCCAGAGCTCGTAAATATGGTGTGCTACAGATTTAGAGACGTTTGTCGTTGTATCTTTAGAGAGAGAAAATGAACTTTTTTTTTTAAATTCCAAAATTCACAAAGTATATTGTTTCTAAAAAAACACTGACCCCTAGCATTAATATATGTAATATATAAATCTATTTGATCCCACAACCACGATCAACTTGAATAGCCCTGGATTTAATCAAACGAAGATCCTCATTACAATGATACCGTTTTATGACATCCTCACTGAATTCACCAAGTAGACACTCCTCACCCATACCCCAAATCATACCACACTCCTCACTTGCTATCAGATTATCAATATCGATTTCCCCGCTGCACAGGACATTAGCAATATGCATACTGTATGGTGTTGCCACATTACTATAACAGCCTCGTGGCACTATATAGTCATCATCGGCCGGTTTAGGTTCGTCATCGGGAGTGACACATTTTTTCCCAATCGATTGTTTATCGTCACTAACTTTTTCGGTCACAACTGCACTGCCTTCTGTTGATTGTCGTTCGAATTCCGGGTGAAAATGGAGTGACGGCGACGGGCCTTCCCATGTCGATCTCTTGATGGCTTGAGATTCATGCAGGCCGCTCAGAATTAGCATGAGAATGATTGAAATTTTGGCTATGGCCTTTGGTTTAGAATTCATAGTGTGGTACGTACCAATTCTTAGTGATCAATTTGTGATGATTCATACAGATTCTCAACATATATATTAGAAAATCAAACAGTTTTAGTTTGCAGAAGTAATGGCGCGGCCGCCATGTTAATAACCACTGCCAATACGTAACCTACATAATTTATTCAACAGTAATTTATTCTGTGTATTGACGTAATGACGTTAAACGGTTTGAGGATAGAATTTCTTGCCAATTTTTTTTTTTTTATTTATTATAAAATTTACATATATAATATATTATGCTTACAAGATCCACCAATAGTATTCTTTCTAAGTCATATCACCTAATTAATAAATTGACAGCTTCCATGCTTCGTAATTTTATGTGGCAAAATATTATTTTGTAATATGACTTGAATAAAAATTAGATCGAAAATTTTAAAAAGAAATACAAAAAATTCAAACATGAATCCCACTTTTTTTTTGTTTTTTGTTCATAGGAACTTGTAACACATAATAGTCTACTACGGATTGGTTGGTAAGAAGTTTGTCTCTCTGTTTATTTTCTCTTTTTTTTGGCAGTTGTATATGTTGAACTCTTTTTTTTTTTTT